ATTATTTAACAACAACAATAATAATAATAATAATTTNAGCAACGTCCAGTGAGTTAGTCTACGGACAGACAATACGTTTACCAGGTGAATTCTTCGATCCTACCCCAGCGGACATAAACACTGCAGATTTCATAAAGACACTAAAGTCTTTCTTCAAAAACTTAACACCAACGCCGGCAGCATCTTATGGGGAGCCCAAACTTTTTGTTCCCATGCATTTAAGAGACTGTAGCCACGTTTTTCTACGTTACGATGCTGTACGTGCCCCACTACGCCCTCCCTACGACAGACCATTCCCTGTAGTGGAAAAGAAAGACAAATTCTTCAAAATTAAAAAAAATAACAAAGAAGTGGTCGTCTCCATCAACAGACTGAAACCTGCCTTTATGCTCAAGGAGAAAGACTCAATCAGCCCTGCACAGCCAGTGATAGACCAACCCAGCAACAAGATGGCTGGGCATACTCACCAACCAGAACCCGCATATGAGACGAAGACCTCACGACATGGCCGCAAAATCAAACCCCCAGTGAGATTCATCGATCGCGGTCGCTAGGAGGGGGGTACTGCGGCGACAAATCACAGACTGGTGAGATGGCGCCACTCCTCTACAAGTTTTCCGTGAATCCCGGATGGAAAAACGGAAACTGGGTTTTTCCCAGAGAGGATTCTGGGTATTGTCGCTTCTCCTTCTTGTCGGGTGATTGCTGCCATGAGCACGTGTAGCTCTCTTTCAAGTGTACTCGAGGATTGTTGTAAATAAATGTTGTTTTAGTTTAAAACGTGATCGTGGACTTAACTAATTCACGTTTACAGCCTTCTGATAAAGACAGTCTTTGTGGAGATGTAAATGGATGGAGAAAGATGGCCAGGTTTTGCCTAACTGACGGCGGCCATCCATTACCTCCAAGATAATCTACACAAATGGAAATTGTTGATTTACATGCAACTGATGTTTTGAAACCACCAACCCTTTTATTCTTCCTTGCTTGAAAATTCTATGGTATAATGTTTGCAGTCAGCATGTTTATCTGCTTTGACAACACTTATGTGTAGTGTTGCCATCATTTCAAAATTGCTGACCTGGACAATAGGTTTGTTCCAATGCAAATCCCTGACTGGTTTGAATTATTTGAAACTGTATGAGGCATGTACAATGTAATTTTACAGCCAAAAACTAAACAATGCACATGCCAGTTTTAAACCAGTGCCAGACTTAATGCCAGACTTGACAAACCTAATATTTGCAACTTAGAATCAGTGCTGCCATTTCTAGGATAATTTCAACCTCTCAGGGTAATGTTTAGGGTAGTCTTATATTTAGGGTAAATCTGGGGTAACACTGTCCTTTGATCTGATGCTATTACCAAGTTTCAAAAAAAGTTCAGAAAAAATTTTAGTCTAAAACTGTTCTGTTTTCCCCTGTAATGGAGGGTTTTAAAATAGGACAACAGAAACTAAAGAAATAAACCAGATTAGTACTAGGTACACGGGTGTACACAATATTACATCCAAGTTGGATTTCGCATTTCTCAACCTTCATGCTATTGGGCCATTGGCATTCTCCATATCAGATGTAAATTAATACCTCTGATAAAGCCTAAAAATCTTAAGATATTTTAGTTATTAAGATTTTTAAAAACAATGAATTAAGAATTATTCTGATTATTAATTCACAATAGTAGTACAGGGATCTGCATCATAGAATTGTTTGCCTTATTTTCTGTTTTCTGAGCATGAGCTCAATGAGTTTTCTCAAGTTAGGGTAATCTAGGGTAAAACAAAGGTACCGTCAGGATAGTTTCACCAGAAGCAGACGGCAACATTAGTTAGAATTTTAAAAGTATATTTTCTGTCACTCTTATTATTATCTGGCCCGTTTCCTTGGCAAAGGGAATGGGCAATGCCATTGCTTGCTTAATGAATGGGACAACAGCGACCACATGCTGTTCCGCTGCCCTCTGTACGAGAACAAACGAAGACAACTGATACAAGCTGTGATTCAGGAGAATGAAGTGTGGCCATGTCCGGCAAGTTTTCTTCTCAGCAACAAAGACATTTTCATAAAATTCAATGACTTTATTCGCCAAATTAAGGTGCTCAGCTAACTGAGTGTGTGGAGGGCAACCTCTGTATCACATGGTCTCTTAGTGCCACAATTCTTCACTCAGGACTTCAGGCAGCCTTAGTTTTTGTTACTATTATCTGCAAGCCAATGTAGGGATCTGCTTTTATTCTGTACAGTTTTATTTTGGCTAATTGTAAAGGGCATATTCATGTTCTACCCGCCCTAAACTGTATTTTCTGTTTAATTGAATAAAATAAAAAACTCTTCAAACCTTTAACTGGAGTGCTTCTATTTTTAGAACTGCAGCATTGCGAACGTTTTCGTCGCCCCTCCTGGGCACTTCTTCAGGTTATAACGAATGGGCCTTTAATATTCAAATAAACATTCGATATGAATCTCTTCCGAATTCGGAATTCAGAAGAGATTCATATCGAATGTTTATTTGAATATTCTGATTGCAAGTACTGTAGTTGAACAGGGCAATTTAAGGATACTACTTTCTAATATTGAGCTGAATGTGGAAAAATTAATCTTGTCGCATCTGGCTCATCATTAATTATTTTTATATTAATTAATCAAGTACATTAAGATACTTTTAGACAATTTTGTATGTTTATAAAATAAATGTTTAAATTGAAAACATTTTCATTAAAATTTAATTTTCAGTGTATCATTTTTGACTGATTATGGGATCACTAATAAAATATATACACTAAAAAGAGATGGTAGTCTGAAAATGTTTGGAAAACACTGCTCTAAGTCTTTTATTTCATGCAGTTCCAAATACAGTAAATCAGCTGGTACTCAGGAAAGGAAAGAACATTCAGTATTTGGTATTTGACAACAGTAGCATCCAATAATGTCTCAAAAAACCTCATTATCAACTCAGCAGAACAGAAGCAAAGCTTTTCAAACATTGTGATTTTCCAAAGAAAGCATTTGGTGTATGCTGAAACATTGGAAGAGCTTTTCTTCTGTTCTGCTGAGTTGATGGTGAGATATATTGAAACATCATATCTGGGAGAGAAATCACACCTAACCAATGTTAAAAACATGTATTTATTAAAAATTGTGAATACTTTCAAAGACATACAGTCAAAAATTGAACACATTTTAAACCTAAGAATAGGACATAAATGCAATGTTTCTTTTTTAAATTAAATAAGGCACAAGGCTGGAATATCAAATATTTAATAAAAATTAGAACAGTCTAATAAAAATACATAATGTATGTGAAATTATCAACCAAGATGTAAATCTTCAAGTATAAAGATCTTAAGAGCATCTACAATGTGAATTGTTTAAATAACTCTATCCATAAATGCAGAAGGTAGGGGTAATTCAGATTGAAAATGACACAACATAAAGATTTTCCCATAAGGATAACATTCTTTTGCCATAGCATTGTCTTAGTAATCTAGTATTAGTCCAAAAGAGCATGCTCTAATACTCTTTGAAAGCTCAGTTGTGAGTTTATTATTGGCAATATTCTCTTGATGTTCTGTCACTTGAAATTGTAACATTCTAGACATGACTTCAATATGTTGTTCCTGAAACCAGCAACTGCAACAGAATTGCATAAATGGTATTGCTTGTGATGCTATCTATATCCACTGAAGAGGCCTTGCTACAGCCAGGGCAAAATGCATTTGGAGGTAATATTAAATAAATCTTGTTCCTTTATAGAAGAAAGTTGTAGTCTATAGTTTTTAATTAAGTCTCCACGAAAATCTGTAAAGACCGAGAAGGATATTTTCTCGTGGTTGTTTTTTAGGAAGTTTTTTAACTTTTACCTTTTTTAAAATATAACCTTTTAAATTATAAAGAAGTGCTTTTTAGCAGTTTCCATGCTTATAATTGACAAAACAATTTTTACTTCATGCTGGGTTTGTTATATGGGAGAGAAATAACACTTAACCAATGTTAAAAACATGTATTTATTAAAAATTGCAAGTACTTTTGAAGACATATATCCTTCATCATCGGGCAAAAATCAAACAGAAATTTTAAATTTAAGTATATAACATAAATGCAATGTTTCAATACAATTTTTATTCAATATTTGATATTCCAGTCTTGTGCCTTTATTTAATTTAAAAAAGAAATATTCATTTATGTTCTTTTCTTAAGTTTAAAATTTGTGTTCAATTTTTGCCTGATGACAAAGGCTATATGCTTTTGAAAGTACTTGCAATTTTTAATAAATATGTGTTTTTAATGTTGGTTAGGTGTGATTTCACTTTCATATAACAATTCTAGCATAAACTGAAAATTATTTTTGTCAATTATAAACATCATATCATTATCCAGTTCTGAATCTGAAGAGTTTTTTATAATAACATTCAAATAATTATTCAGAATTTGGCCAAAAAACCTACTTAGTTCATCCCTATTTAATATGAATAAATTTCTTCCACATTTTTTTTAAATGCATATTTATTAACTCCATATTCTATCTGTTTTTGAAATAAATAATTTTCATTAATTTGGATGGGTAAGTAATGGTATAAATTCAGTTTGCAGGTTTTCAGTGATTTTTGCACTTCCCAGTCAACCACCAACTCAAAGGTTACCATGACTCTAATAAAAGATAATTAGAAAATGGTAAATTCTAATGTTTTTTAATTATATCTTAAAATTTTAGTAAAGTCTAAATTCACAAATTTTGATTGAGCTTTGAATACAAGTATTTCAGAGAACTGTTAACTTAGGCTGTTATGATTGACATCATGGAAGTACAATACTTTATTACTCGTGCATTATTATAAACAAATGTGTTTTTGAGTCATCTGATACATTTTACTCTTACTACATATTGTTTTCATAATGTATTGAATTATTAATATTTACACAACTTTAGAATGTGTTCTTGTATTAAATATTTACATTTGTACATATCAAGAATTAAAATTAAATTCAATATTTATTTTATAGTATGTGAATATTGTGTCCATCAAGAATGTCAAGATTTTGGAGTGGCAGACTGCAAAGAATGTGCTACTTATGTACCAAGTCAAGATCAAGTAAAAAAATTTTTATTTTAAACAGTTCTTTTAATAAATTTTGATAATATTCATTATTAATAAATCTTATATAGCTTAGAAATGCATTTTGTTAGTGAAGTTGTAATATTTAGGTAAAGCAAAACTCTAATTTGTTTCACATTTTAGTTTTGTAAATAAATATCTTAATTACTTACCAATAATTTCCTATATGAATCTGTGTACATAGGAAAAAGAATATATCATATTTCATTGAAACTTTGATAATTTTATTACTTGATATAGTATACCTCATAGTTTAACATGAAAATTAGTATATGCTAGTTTTGAAGTTTGACAAAGAAATGAGTAATAACAGTTTTTGGTAAAATCAAAAAAAATATGAAACTCTGAACAGAATTTAGTCAATGCTTTATCACATCTCAAATGATTCCTGTATCACAGTACTAAAACCTTTAAAAATGCACCATAATTTTAATTTTCAAGCATTTTTGGTTGTTTAAATGAACATTTCTCAAACTGTGGGTTATGCTAAAGTTTTAACAGGTTGCAAAATGATACTACTTTCCGCAGAAATACAGGTGGCCCTCGACTTTCGCACATAATTGGTTCCTGAAAGTGTGTGTGAATGTTGAATGTTTGAAAGTAGAGGGATGTAAAAAAAATATGCACCAAAAACTGAAATATTTATTCCTTAATTTTACTCTTATTTTTAAAAATTGCATATATCATAGATCTGTTTACATCATATGAACGTCCGATTGAAGCAAAAGATTCACTGTTTTCAGAAAGTTTAATTATTTCCATCTTTGTCTCAATTGTACGAAGTTTATGAGTCCTTAATTTCTTTTTGTTCGTATCAACACTGCAGTTTCTCCATTTCTCACTCATGATTATCAATTTATAAGGATGAAATATTTAAACATAAACAAATAAATTGGCAAAACACACAACATGTTGACGCACGCCCTAATGCAAGACTGAAACTGTTTTGATATCTTGCTTGGAATAACACACTAGTGATTAGGATTACGAGAAGTCCACTATTGTAGGAAGTAATGTGTGTCCGAGAACATAGAGCGAGCTACCGCACTTTGTAGTGTATGAGCATTCTGCATGAAATGAAATTTTTCATTATCGACAAAAATATTTAAAAAGTTGAATTTTTAAAAATGTGCAAAATAGCAAATTGTGCAAAAATAGAATGTGTGAAAGTTGAGGGCTGCCTGTACTTGTAATACTTGTATTACTGAAATATTCTTTAAAAACCAAGAACAATAGATGCATCTGTTAAATACTGAAAATTTTTAACTTTTTTCTTCTAGTTATTGTTGTTTAGTAATCAAGTTAACATTATAGCATATGTCTATGTGAGAATCGGGGTTTAAGCATCTAAGTCTAAACCGTTTTTCGACAACGGGGAGGTGAGTCCCGCTCACTGGGTCAGTGGATGGCAATTTAGGAGGGCGAAAATCGAGTGGGAGGTCACGGATAAGTCGATAAGGTGTTGACAGAGTACGAGTAAACACACATGATTAAGATATAATATAAATTTAATTGGTATACACAATATAAAAAAAATTACAAATAATAAGAATAATAATAATAATGATATCAAACCGAAATTATAATAGTAGGTTAGTCGAATTATATCTCAGGTATTTTGATTGAGGATAATCTCTGATCCTCCTTAATATTATTTTCAGAATTAGCCCTAGTCCACCTGAGAGGAAAGAGAGAGTTCTACTTACTAATTTGTAGCTTGTAGAATCTAACCGTGTCGTCCGTCTTTGGCGGTCAGTGATGAGGACAGTTAATCCTTGCTTTCAGCTATCTTGGGAGGCCACACCGATAACGGGCCGTGAGCCCTCTTTATACCAAATTTGAGGGGGTGAGAACTATGACATTACTAATGATTTATCCACACACCTGTTAGTGTGTTGATATTTGGATCTAGCTAGTTCGGACAACTGACATAGAGAAGTTTGTTCAATTTATTGATATTGGTGTCAAGATGATATGATTTTTTGATATAAATTTCTATAGATTTGATGGCTCTCATCCATAAATTAACACTCAGCTGACAATAATTTCTTTAACCTGGTCAACTATCTAGTTATTGTTTATATCAAACGTCGTGTTTGACTACGAATGAGACGATTTATTGCCGTAACCACATGTTACGTACAACCAAAGAGGTGATAAGAAACATCTCTTATTCCTGTCTTGTTGATATTAACATCAATAGAATTACCTTTAAACAAATGGAGGAGATTTCGTTTATTGATAATTTAACATTCCCCCCCCTTTTTTTTTTCTTATTCGAGGAGAGCATCTCGGTCATTGACTGCAGATGTTCTCCTTTTTCCCTTTTCAGAGAAAATTCTTAGGATTACTGTTTTAAAACAGAAAAAAGGGTTTCAGATCTTCACATGTATATGAAATTGATTTCTCTTCTATTTTGAATAAGTTATATGTAAGGTCATAGTCAGAATGCCATTTGTAATATATGTTAATGATTTAAATAAATATTGAATGTAATTGTGTTGGTGCTGAGGTGGCAACATAGGTTGAGAGGGTTGAAGAAAGGACATGGAAAAAAAGGGCAGCAATGTTGTAGCTTGAGGGAACCAGCTGGATGTAGAAGTGTTTAGTTGTATTAATAAAGAGTTATCTATATATATATAAAAATGAATATATGTCTGTCTGTCTGTATGTCCTTCATGCATTACCACACCATTTATCCGATTGCTATGAAACTTTGTGAAGTTGTTTAATATACTCCTGCGAAGGTTTCTGGCATAGTATGATTGCCATGAAACTTTGGGAAGTTTTTTAATACACTCTCGCGAAGGTTTCTGGCATAGTACATTTATCCTACGATAGATGGCGCGCGTTTATATGAGCATATCACTGTGTGTTCGATCGATTTTAAATTGTGAAGACCATTTCCCCCTGCAAAAAATATTTCTATATATGCATTTGTGAACTGTTATTTATGATAATTGTAATAATTTTTGTTTAATCATTTTATTTCAATTTTTTTTGCTAATTATGTACTCGCTTGAACTTCGTTAAAACCTTAACTGTACCCCAAACAACTACCGAAGTTGTAGGATGAAATTCGATTTTTTTTTTATCAATTTTATTTTACTGATCTAGGTATCCTCCTTTTCCAAATTTTAATATCAACTCAAAATAATTTAAAAAGACAAATTACAATAAAACAGTTTATTATCCAACTAACAGAAATTTCACAGCATTCCAAGGAAGAGAGGAAGGAGCAATTAAATAATTAAAATTATAAAGGATTAAAAAATATATATATGAATGGGGAATATTGCACTTCTGACAATTGCTGCAACTGTGTGGGTTAGATTTGGAGAATCCGTGCTTCTCGCATGGACAACTGTATGTGGCCAGCTCATGCGTCGGAAAACCTTCTGATATATTTGTATACGCACCAGACAGAAAAACAAAAAATATCGTGTATCCACAAGCACTCCAATAAATAAATAGTATTGAAACGACACTTTGAAATGTTTTCCTGATGAAAATGAATAATAATAATAATAAGTTTCAATAAAAATGATAAAATGTAAATTGAATTTTATCATAACGAGTTTGCTTGAATTTCCTTTCTTCTGAGATCGCAGCAATGCATGACTGGTATATATATATATATATATATACTAGTGTATATATATCCTATGCCAGTTGAATATTCACTTCGGAACCACCATCCTGGCCGCCAAGGTAGTCCCATTCTAGTTTAAATTTTTTGGACAGTTGGCACATAGATGGTCCCTACTTCTGCAGGCGAAACATCTTCTACCCCGACCAGGTATGACGTTGGCCTTAGTTGGGTTGCGTTCATCCTGCCCACCAGTTAAACCCAAGACAGCCTGAGACAGCTGTATATACGTTCTTCTCCAACTTAGCTAAACGAGTCGCGACTTCTGATCTGGCTATGTTACTGTTATCGGGAGAGGTTGATTCCTTGTGAGGTGGTACAACAACACCGCCTACCTGAACTTCTTTGAGCCCGCAGGCTTGCTCGATTTTTGCCAATTTCTCAGCTAATTCGACCGCCTCATCAAATGATTTTGGTTTGCGCTCTAACAGTTTCATTCTTAAGTCTGGGTTTATCCCTCGGATGAATTGATTGCTTAACATCGCACTTCTCAATGTGGCCATGTGTGGATTTGCACAGACCATTCTTTCAAACGATACACACAATCTAACCTTATACTCACCCACTGACTCATTATGTTTTTGTCTTATGTTGATGAAGTCCTTCAATGTACCTCCATCAGTCGACTTCTGTCTGTGGAAGCTACCTAGTAGAGATGTCTTAATTCTGTTGTAGTTGTTTTGGTACACGTCCCTTAGGTCCAACAACAGGCCGAAAGGTTTTCCTTTCAAGTGTGATTGAGCTACAGCTAAACGAGTTCCGCTTGTCCACCCGGCGATCGTTGACACTTCCTCCAGAATATCAAAAAACTGCTTGATGGATACATTATCTGCTGAAGTACCTGAGAATGTCGGAATCATCCCCAGGTATCCCATAACGACTGGGGTTGCTGCTGCTGGGTCATGGTTTCCTGGAATGTTCATGGTTGACTCGGGTTGCGTGCCGTCACTCGAATGCTCTGCCGTCTTTGTTTCCATTATAGACCATGTGGTAATCCTGTCGCGGATGCCAATGTGGAAAATTGCAAGACTTAATATTCTTACTAATTGTAGGTGTAGGTGAATTACCACATGGGGAAGAGACACACAAAGAGGCAATTTAATAATAAGTTTATATAAACCACAAAATATATGTATTTGTACAATTATATCTAGGTCCACAAGATACAATTCTACACACACTAAAAGTTTTCACCATTACAATACTATAGTCACAGATAGTTCACACACCGTAATCCAATTTGTTGCAGGACAAAGAAACTGAAAAACTCCTAAAAAAATGCTCTGTACGATTCACTGATATCCTGAATAGGAAGAGAAAAAGCCCT